CTCTAGCATGAGTCCTTAGTGCTCTTCACTCAGCTCCCCTAATCTGACTCCACCTTCCCTTTCTACTCTTTTGCCACACCAGGCTTTTTTTTTTTTTATAGTTTAGTTTTTGTAGAGACAAGATCTTGCTATGTTGCCCAGGCTGGTCTCAAACACCTAACCTCAAGCAATCCTCCCGCCTCGGCCTCCCAAAGTGCTGGGACTACAGACGTCAGCTACTGCTCCCGGCCCTCCTTTTTTTTTGGGGGGGAGCAGGGATGGAGTCTTGCTCTGTCACCCACGCTGGAGTGCAGTGGCACCATCTCAACTCACTACACCCTCCACCTCCCAGGTTCAAGCAATTCTCCTGCCTCAGCCTCCCAAGTACCTGAGACTACAGGTGCGTGCCACCACGCCCTAATTTTCGTATTTTTAGTAGAGATGGGGTTTCACCATGTTGGCCAGGATGGTTGTGATCTCCTGACCTCGTGATCTGCCCACCTCAGCCTCCCAAAGTGCTGGGATTACAGGCATGAACCACCGCACCCAGCCTTCCAGCCCTCCCTTTCTACTCTTATCTCTAGCCACCCTCCTTCAAAGGTCCCTCCTTCAAAGGTCTGGCAGCATAACCTCTCCATGCCTCAGCTGTGTCTTTGCTCATGTTGGCCCTCTGGAATTGATTTCCCCTTTTTTAACTGCTGCAATTTTTCTCACCTTATCCATCTCATGTCATCTTCCCTCTGTGTGGCCCTTGCTTCCCATTCTAGCTCACTCTTATCCCTCCACCATACTCCTGGAGTCCTCTGCCCTCGGAGCCTTTCTTTTGTGTCACACAGACCCAATAATTAGAACTGTTTGGTCTCCAGCTAGACTGTGAGCTCTTTGCAGGTGGGGAAGATGTCATGTATGCTTTTACCCTCCACCCAAATGCCCAGCACAGGAGGAACAGGATTGGAACAAGTGTTGACCTCTCATGTTTACTTTGTTTCAGAATTGGGGGGTTCTATGCTCTTTCCCCATACCCTGGTCTTCGCCTCATCTCTCTCAATATGAATTTTTGTTCCCGTGAGAACTTCTGGCTCTTGATCAACTCCACGGATCCCGCAGGACAGCTCCAGTGGCTGGTGGGGGAGCTTCAGGCTGCTGAGGATCGAGGAGACAAAGTGAGGGGGAGTGGTGGGAACACAGTGGTGCTGGGGGACAAGCAGGCTTCTGTCGAGCTGGAGCACCTCTGGGCAGAGAAGTTTGATTTTCCTGGCATTCCCAACAAGTGTTCCCTGGGGGTTCAGCTCATGGTCACTGTTGAAAGCCTTCATTCAGTCCCCCTCTCTAGCCAGGGCTGCCTGGACCCCTGGATGCCCTGATTACCATCCTTAACTCTCCCTGCTAGGTGCATATAATTGGCCACATTCCCCCAGGGCACTGTCTGAAGAGCTGGAGCTGGAATTATTACCGAATTGTAGCCAGGTAGGAGGGAGATGAGGGTGGGAGTAGGGACAGGGTGAGTGTGTGAAGGCTGAAGATTCCCTTGAGCATCTCACCATCCCTGTTGTCCCATGGAGTGGGGAGACTCCTCCCTAGAACAGGTTGGAGAAAGAGGGCATCCTATCTCCCCAGATCTCTTCCTACCCCTCCCTAGAATCTTCTGAATGTAGTATTTTCTGGCCAGGTATGAGAACACCCTGGCTGCTCAGTTCTTTGGCCACACTCATGTGGATGAATTTGAGGTCTTCTATGATGAAGAGACTCTGAGCCGGCCGCTGGCTGTAGCCTTCCTAGCACCCAGTGCAACTACCTACATCGGCCTTAATCCTGGTGAGTGAGGCAGAAGGGAGCCTCCTTTATCCTGGAGTTGGTGGGATAGAGGAAGGAGGTTGGAGCCAGAGCCTGCAAAGCATGGGCAGGATGTGTGGCCCCTCCCTGGAGTTGCCCTTGCTCCTTTCCCCTCCAGTCAGTCCCGCTTCCTTGCAGGTTACCGTGTGTACCAAATAGATGGAAACTACTCCGGGAGCTCTCACATAGTCTTGGACCATGAGACTTACATCCTGAATCTGACCCAGGCGAACACACCGGGAGCTATACCGCACTGGCAGCTTCTCTACAGGGCTCGAGAAACCTATGGGCTGCCCAACACACTGCCTACCGCTTGGCACAACCTGGTATATCGCATGCGGGGCGACATGCAACTCTTCCAGACCTTCTGGTTTCTCTACCATAAGGGCCACCCGCCCTCAGAACCCTGTGGCACGCCCTGCCGTCTGGCTACTCTTTGTGCCCAGCTCTCTGCCCGTGCTGACAGCCCTGCTCTGTGCCGCCACCTGATGCTAGATGGGAGCCTCCCAGAGGCCCAGAGCCTGTGGCCAAGGCCACTGTTTTGCTAGGGCCCCAGGGCCCACATTTGGGAAAGTTCTTGATGTAGGAAAGGATGAAAAAGCCCAAATGCTGCTGTGGTTCAACCAAGCAAGGTCATCCAGTGAAGAACCAGTCCCTGGGCCCCAAGGATGCCGGGGAAACAGGACCTTATCCTTTCTTGGAGCTGGTTTAGCTGGATATGGGAGGGGGTTTGGCTGTCTGTGCCCAGGAGCTAAACTGCCTTGAGGCTGCTGTCCTTTCACAGCCATGGAATAGAGGCCTAAGTTGACACCGCCCTGGCAGGCAAGACAGGAGCTGTTGCCCCAGGCCTGTGCTGCCCAGCCAGGAACCCTGTACTGCTGCTGCGACCTGATCCCGCCAGTCTGTTAAAATAAAGATAAGAGACTTGGACTCTAGACCTCTGTGTGACTGTACCAATTTCTTCCTTCAAGCAGGCAGGGCAAGGAGATCTTTGGGGCAAGATCATAACTGAGGCACAGGGTAATGGGGTTGATGGTGTGGTACAGGCATAGAAGGCACACAGCAGTGCAGACAGACTTTATTAGTGATATCAATACAGTAGAGGTGCCCACGGAGCAAAGGGAAGGGACCCATGCCTGGACCAGTCCCTTCCTCCTGCCCCTGCTGGGTCCCAGGAGTATGAGGCCTGGCCTGGGCCAGTTCCTCCTGTTCCACCTGAAACACATGGGGATGGAGAGCCAGGGCTGGCCTTGCTTCCTGCTCCTCTTGTTACCACACCAGTGTTATGACTTCCTTGAAGGGATTAGATCTCTCCCTCCCCAGCTCCTAGGCAGGGAACCCTAGCTACTGGGGAGGGGCATATTTGGGAGGCCTAAGGCCTAGGAATAGCCTCTAGACCCCTACCTGACCCACACCCTGTAGTTCCCTGGGGCCCGACACAAGCAGGTGGAGGGAAGGCAGAGGCTTCTTCATGGGGTATGGGTCCCCAGCCGTTTGGGCTTCAGGGAGCCCCACAGCGACTGAACACCCCTGCGGACAGTCCACCCTACACGCCGTGCCACGGACTCAGCAGGGGGTGCTGGGAGGCAGGAAGTGGAGGCCTGGGAACGGGCATCCAGACACTTCTGGTAGCGAAGCTGCGGAGGCAAGCGGGGCAGTCACTCTCCAGCCTGCCTCACATGGGGCCACGCCACCACCACACCACCCTACCGGCTTACCATGCACGCAGCCTGCACAGCCTCTGAGAGGCTGGCAGCATTGGGCTCGCACCAAAACATGTGGCAGCAGAAGGAGGCTGGGCCGGCAGCCATGATGAATGCAAATGTGTGGACATCTCTGCCCACGGCCAGGAAGGAGAGGAAACGCACCCGACACTCTCCCAGCACTGCCTCTGTCTGCATGGAGGGAACTCAGTTAAAAAGGAACACCACCCCACACTGTGTTCCACATCCATCTTAGCAGCTCTTCCCTTCACCCCGTCTCCCCTCCATGGCAAGGCAAAGCCACGACTTCTACCCCAGCTCTTTACCTGCTGGTGCAAGATGGTGAGGGTAGCAGGAGCCACACTGACATGACTTGGGGTCCACTGCTCACGGCTGCTGGAGGACAGGACTGACTCGAGGGCCCCATTAATCACATCTACCCCTAGAACATATGGACACAAGACATCACTGACGGTAGAGAGAGGATACCCCAGCTCTACCCTAGAACTCTAGTTCCACCCAGTCAAACCCAGGGCCTTTGCCCCATCCCCACTTTGCCAGCCTACATCTTGGACAATGCTGTCCAAGTATCCCTTCCCTGGGTCCCCTGGCCTCAGTAACTGGACATTTTCCTACTTTTTAAAATCTTGAATCCTAGGCTAGTTATTTTCACTGGCTCTGCCTATTCCTCCACACTTGTGAACCGACTGACCTCCCAAAGTTCTGACTTCCCTAAATCGTGCTCTCTCAGCGCTCATCACACTCAGACACCACATTGCTTCACACCACAATAACTCCCAAGTCAGCCCCTACAGGCCAGTCCTCTCCCAAGACCCAATTATTTTTTAAGATAATCTATTTGAGGAGTGATTACTCTGTATCACACTGTGCTAAGTCATCACAGTGTATTACCTCATTTGTGCCCGCACAACAACTTCACAACAGATTTCCATTTTACAAATAAGGAAACGGTAGAGATAGGCAACATGCCTTAGGTCACATCAAGGAATGGAGACCTGAGCTCAGGCAGTCTGATTCCAGAGCCTGGGTTCTTAGCCATGCCTTTCTCCTACCTCTTCTCTATATTACTAGTTTTCAGAACTACAAGGGCTTTCAAGATCTTAGGTTCTACTCAAGAATGTCTATAATGTGCTCAAGGGCCAAGGAACCCAAGGTTCCTGACTTTTAGATCAATCAAGTTTCCCTTATAATGCATGTTCTCCCCCACCTCAAACTGCTGTTAAACATGTCCCCTCATGGATCCCACTTTTGCTTGCACTCAGCAAAGCACCAAGGCAGGAGCACATGGTGTGGTGAAGGCATCAGTTCTAGTCCCCACACTTATAAGCTGCCCATGTGATCTACTGTCTCTGCACAATGCCAGTGCAAAAGGCATATGCCTCTGTGGTCCAGTCCCAGGCCCTCTGCCCCTTTTAGTGCCTCTCAGCTCCCACTAGGAGCAGACCATGTGGACTCTTTGTGGGCAGAGGACAAATGTCTTCCTTGAATGTCTTCTCCCATCTTGGCCTTGCTCATCTTACTTCTGGCTGCAGCAAGGCCAAACTGCTCCCAAAAGCATGCGAGTCTTCCAAAAACTGGCCTCTCCAGAGCTGTCAAGCCTCATATTTTACTGCTCCCTGAGCTTCAGATGATTTGTGTAGCATTACTATTAACAACCAATCTTGGCAAATGGCCTGTAAGGCAGATGCAGAATACAAAACAAGAGAAGAGAATGTCCTTGAGGGACACAGACTGCAACTGAGGGAAAAGCCTCTGTCTTGACTGCCCTTTCCCCGCTGGACTGAGAAACTCCAGACTGTCATCCTTCAGGGCTCCGACTAGGTGTTCTCTAGGAAGCCATCCCTGCTGCAGGGCAGGGAGAAGACAACTCTGAGACAACTCTTACCACAACATCTTGTAACTGCTGGCAAACTTTTTTCCACACTGGGCTTTGGCCATCTCAAGAACAGAAATGGAATTTAATTAATCCCTCTGTCCCCAATTCTAACACAGCGCTTATCTGCTGAAGAAATTCCAGATGCATGAGCAAGTCACTCTCAAGGCAACATGAGCAAATGCACCCAAACTGGTAAAACCAAGTGTCACAGAAGTGGATGGGCCAGGTCATATTGCAGAGCGCTTCAAAAGCCAGGCAGAGGGGTGTGATGTTTATGACATTTAGGCCAGGGCAACTGGAAATCTCAAAGTTCAGTTGTGTGAAAGGGACATCAAAGTCAAACTGCTGAGTAGATGGGGCTGTGGGAAGTGGAGCCCGGCCTCAGAGTCTTAGGAGGTTTGGCAGGGAAGCAGTGAAAGCAGTGGAGCAAGGTATGGAAAAAGGCGGTCAGATTTGATAGCAACTCAGGACTAAAACCTACACCGTGACCTTGACCTCCAGCCCCACATGCAATCCCCCTTATCCTGGTGTGCTTTTCTTTTTTCTTTTCTTTTTTTTTGTATCAGTTGTTGCCTTCTAATATACTCCATGGTTTACTCATTTTATTGTCTGTCTCTCCTTGCTAGAATGTAAGCTAAATAAAAGCAGGGATCTTTGTCACTTTTGTTCATCAATGTATGGCAAGAAGCTAGAATAGTGCCTGACACACATCAGGCACTCATTACCACTTGTTGAATGAATGAATGATTAATGAACGAATACTGCAGCTTCTGGAGGGGCTAATGTTAAAAAAGGAGGTTAAAAAGGAGCATAAGATAAAGCAGGAAGTAAGTTTAGAGGCCACTTGTCCAAAAGTGTGGAGCTGATGGAGCAGTCAAGGGTCACAGGCAGTTGATCTGGCATAGGGAGGACCTGAGTCAAGTGGTAGATGCAAAGAAGCACATATGGGAATGGGGGTAACAACCGGAAGAGCCAACAAGGGTTTAGAAGTTGAGGATGAGAAGGAGGAAAGCAAAGGCATAAGGGTCAGCATGCTTTTCTCAACTCTAGCTCCAAGTCTTTGGCAGTGCCACTGAATCCAAATGAAATATCCACTCCACCCTGCAAATCCAAGCCTTCCTTCAAAACCTCAGTTCAATCCCCACCTTTTCTAAGAAGGGTCCCCTCTTTCAATGTAAGATTTTGGACATGAAAGTCAGCACGGTATGAGGCAAAGTGCAGAGAATTAAAGATGACCGGGGTTTGACTCCTAGGTCTAGCTTTCCTGGCCATGTAATCTGAAGCTAGTCTCATTTATTCATTAATTCATTTTTTAAATTCATTCATCAAAAATCTGTTGAGTTCCTCCTATGTGTCTTTTGACATGATACGCCACCACTTCTTCAAGTAGTCTCTTTTCTTCTTCCTGCCTCTCTCCTGTTGTCACCATCATTGGCAGTTTCATCCTCCACCCATCCACTGAATGTTGGAGGGCCTCAAGGCTATGACTAGCCTCATTTCCCTTCTCACTTCAGGATGCCGACTTTCCAGGGTCAAGCTACTCTACATCCATGGCTTTGATTACCTCTACAACCCAATAATGCCAAAACTTCTATCTCCAGCCCAGACCTCTCCTCTCAGCTCCAGATCTGTGAATCTAGCTGCCAACCTGACTTTGCCTCTCAGTTTCCCCAAAGGCACCTCAAACTCAGCATGTCCAAACGTTAGCTTACAATCTCCACACTCAAATTGGCCTCTTCTAACATCTGCCACCTTGAAAGAAAGAATCCACTATCCAGAAGGTCCAACAGCTAGGAACCTAGCAGTCACCCTTAATGCCTCTGTCCCTCACCCACACTGAGCCAATCACCGAGGCCTGTTGACTATACCTGTCTAAACAGCTCTGGAATCCACGCACTCCTCCTCAGCTCCATTGTTGTCCAAGATACTCTCATTACTGGCCAGGACTACTGCAACGGCCTCCTAACTGAGCTGCTCACATCCACCTCCACCCGCCTAACAGTCCCCTCCATGAAATAGCCAAAGTGAGCTTTCAAAATTCAAATCTGATTAAGGCAAGTGCATTCTTGAAGACTTCAATAACTCCTTGCTGCTCTTAGGATGAAGAAAAAATCATTAACATAATCCCTGAGATCCCTGACCTGGCAGCCTGGCCACTGCCCGGCTCTCAGCCTCATCTTGCATTGGCTTTCTTTCAGTACCTTGGAAGTGCCAAAGTGCCACCCACTGTAGATCCTGATCTTCCCCCATCCTACCCCCACCTCCATTCCACTTGACTGCATTCACTTCTAATCATTTTTTGGATTTCAGTTCAAACGTCACTTTCACAGGGAAGTCTTTTATGACCCCAGACTAGATGAAATTCCTCTGTTCTATCTTGCTACTTTCTCTCAATGAATAACTCACAATTTGTGTGATTATTTTATTAATTCCTGGTTTTTTTCTACCACAACCTTCTATAACCTCTATGAAAATGGGACTGTGGCCACTGTTCTCCCAGCGCCTAGTCCAGGGCCTGCCACATGGTAAGCTTCAAAGGTATTTGTTAAGTGAATGAACAAATAAATAGCAGATACTATGACAGCACTGAAATATAAGAGTTAACCAGATCAGGCCAGGCACAGTGGCTCAAGTCTGTAATCCCAGCACTCTCAGAAGCCGAGGTGGGCGGATCACTTGAGGTCAGGAGTTCAAGACCAGCCCTGGCCAACACAGTGAAACCCTATCTCCACTAAACATACAAAAATTAACCAGGCCTGGTGGCGGGAGCCTGTAATCCCAGCTACTCAGGAGGCTGAGGCAGAAGAATTGCTTGAACCCGGGAGGCGGAGGTTGCAGTGAGCTGAGATCATGCCACTGCACTCCAGCCTGGGGGACAGAGCAAGACTTGTCTTTAAAAAAAAAAAAAAATTATTTGCAACAATAACATATGTGACAATTATGCTCACTGTTTCCTTCTCCTGATACTTCCAGCCCACAGCTCGTGCTGTAACACTTAACCCAGCTACAGGCTGCTGTCTGGTGTTTCCAGTCATCTAATAGCTGTCTCCCAATCCCACCAAAGCTTTTCCATGGGATGAAGGAGTGGGGTCTCCCTCTGTGCCTGGTTCAGCACCACTCACGTGGCTGATGCTCAGCGAAGGCATGCTGACTGCTGCTATAAGCAGGACAGTGAATATAGCTAGGACAGAAGTACAGGGAGGTGGGATGCATTTTAAAGGGTAGGGAGACATGAAGCATGAGGAAGTTCTGGTAGAAGAAGTATTGGAAGGCAGAGGGTAGGGGCAGAGCTTTAGGATCAAGGTAGCAGCCCCTGGGTACAGAAGGACACACATACCAACAGGTTTAGCAACAGGTACATTCCCCAGGTAATAGACTTGGAACTTCTGGACCAACTCATTCTTAGGCGCTGGGAATTCCACTATGGGAAAGAACAGAAGGTTGATCATGGTGGGAGACCTTGCTCACCCCCAGTCCCCACCAGCAGGGCATAAGCTAGACACTTGCCCAGCCGAGGTCCTACTTCCATCTCGTCCCTTGCCTCCCTTTAACCGGAGTCCCTCCACTTATTGGAGTATTCAGTCTTCATGTGTTCATTTTTCTATCAGCGCTGTCCAGGAGCTCATGCCTTTCCTTGAGTCGCCCACCTTTGCCAACAAATCTGAGCTAGACCTAGAGGGGTTTTGACACTGACCTTGGAAAGGGACATCCACAAGTTTAGAGTGGTCCAGGGAGAGTCCATTTACCAAGCAGCGGGCATTACGCCGTTCGGCCATGATCTGAGGAAGGAAGGGAGGCGAGGAGCCAGGGAGAATCTATTAGAGCCTCATTGCCCTGGGGCACCCCCACCTTACTCAGTAACCCCACCCACACCCTTGTAGAGTGAAGGTGGCAGCTAGTCCAGGGAGTGGAGGGGGCCGTGCCTTAGAGCAGATCTCATGCAGGCTGGTGGCGATGTTCTTGGCGGGTGCCTCACAGCGAAACACGTGGCACTTGAGCATCTGGGTCAGCTTATCACGAGCTACGTAGGCAAAGTCCCTGTTGGGGGAGGGGCACCTCAGTGTCTCCCAGTACCATCCAGTGCCAAGCCTGGTCCCCACCCCACCCACGTCCTCCCTGCCCGTCACAGCTCCTCCAGGGCTTCTGCCCACAGCTGGTCCCCCATAGGTGCTGTCTTCTGGAGGGAGGGTAGACAGGCAAGCATGCTGAGGTGGAAGGTAATGGTGGAGCATAGCAGGTTGGAAGGGGCAGGGCAGAAGAGGGGAGCTTGGGTGCTTCCAGGCATCTGGTCCAGGTGCAGGAGGGGGAAAATAGGCATAGTACCTCTCTCTGGGTCCAGCAGCACAAGAGAGGCAAAGAACAGAGTTAGAGAGAAGGACTCTGATGCTGGATGAACTCCCACCCTGGAATCCCAGGCCCTGTTCCCACCTTCCACTGTCCCGCCCAACGCCCCACACACGGATGCTGATGATGGGTTGGGCGTGCAGCAGTGCCTGGCTCTGTGGCTCCACTAGCTTTAGCGTCTCGTCCTCCAGCTGTAGTAGCAGATCCTTTCCCTGCAGGCCCAGAAGCAGGCACTCAGTGGGACTCCAGCCGGGAAGGTAGCTGATCTCTGACTCCTGCAGCTCAGGGGATGTTAGCCACAGCTCTGGGGCCCCTGCTTTGGTGTCTGACCACCCGCCCTGCAGGCCTCACTCTAGTGGAGGTCACGTGTCATCTCTCACATCGACTCCACTGTTGTTAGGCTACCATCTCGCAAGGTCCTAGCCTGGGGTCACTCATCCATCCCACAGGGCTGCCACTTACGGAGGGCCAATATGCCCCTTTCCCAGCCTGCTTGTGGGCAGGTCAGACCTCCCATCTCTCATAATTCCCTTCACACTCTCTCATAGTACCACCCCTGCTGGCTCAGGTCCTTACTTCCCCCCAGCCCCCAGACATGGGGTCATGCAGGTTGTTTTTGTGGTAAGAGAGCTGACGGATGCAATTGTTGACTGCCACACTGCTGCGTCCAGGGGCCAGCTCCTCCTCGGTCATCTCTACCCAGCCTAGGGAGCGCACGGCGAAACACTGCCAGACACAGAAGAGGGGCAGGAGGCAGAGGATCGGAGTCAAAACTGGAGAGCCCTCAGCACAGGACACAGCAGAGTTCCTGAATACAGAGTATGGCAGGAGGCAGGGTGTTCTGAACTAAGACGGAGAAGCTCCCCAAACAGGATGTGGTTAGGGAGAGGGGGATGTGGTGAGGGTGAGGGAGATGTCATATGAGACCCTGGCTAGTACAAAAAAGCACCTGAACCAAGACTACGAGGGCCCCCAACCTGTCTGTTGGGCTGGTTGATTTAAAAATTGGAAGTGCCTCCAGCTCACTCACAGAGCTCTTTGCTGAGACTGGAAGAATTCCTAACTCAGGACCTGGGGGACTGCACTGAGACCCCTCAGAGCACAATATTAGGGGCTGTCCTACACACAAGAGGGCCCTGGTCTCAGAATGGGTGTCAGTCTTGAACAAACCTTTATCCCTGGGTTGGTAGTCCGTGGGGGTAGCTTCTCCTCCTCTTGGGGCAATGGCTCTGGGCTGGAGGCAGATGGTAATACTTGGCACAGGGCCCCCATAAATGGAGCTGTCCCAAGGCCCCTTCCAGACAGATCCATCCCACTGCCAGCCCACTGCATCTGGCAGCTCACCTGAGGCTCTGAGCTGGGAAGGTCAATGTCCCCTCCTCAGGTTCCTTCAGTCCCAGCTCCATTGGGGTCTCATCACTGGGTTCATCCTTGGGAAGGGGATTGAGGAATCAGGATCAAAGTGATGCACCTCCTCCAGCTATCCCATGGTAAAGCAGGTCCCCTTACTCACCTTCCAAAACTCTCCATCCTCAAAGCCTTCTCCGTGAGCAAAACCTGTCCAGGTGAGCTAGGAGGAGGGAAGGGAGTAGTGAGTGAGTGTCCTATCCTACTCCAGCAGCACATACTCCCTCCCCTGGCCCAAAACCAACAGGCCTGTGAGCCTCACCTGGGACTCCTCTTGGGGGCTGCTCCCTTGTGAGGGGGAGGCCCGGCCGGGGGGTTCCCACTGGGTGGTCCCTGTTGGGATGTGCCAGTAATAGGTCCCTGAGGTGTCCTGGACCCTCATCCATCCAGCCGGCAGGTCGGAATCCGTCTCGAAGGCGTTAGGGTTCCAGAAGGAATCTGCCAGGTGGGAGGCTTGGTGAGGGTCAGCCTTCCTAAAGAGCAGACAGTTGGTGCCTATGCCCGGTCCCCTCTGAGACGCCATGGTTGAGAAGGGGTGGAGGAAAAGCTATACCACAACACAATTCCTGCTTCTGCCTAGAGCCTATAGTCTGGAGTCACCACATGTGGGGCCACCAGTAGGGGACATGGCTCAGGTCTCCTCCTGGGCCCTGTTGGTGGCTAATGTGGCCACACTGTGGAAAGGAGGAAGGCAGGGAAGGAGGAAGGAACGGAGCAAGGAAGGTTGGGTGACCCCAATTAACCTCCTTTCATATATATCTCTATCTCAGTGAACACAAAGTGGAACACTTTTTAGCTCCTGCACACATACATGTACACACAGACACACAACACATACAAGCCCTACCACACACCTGTGCAGCCACAAACACCAGGGTATGCAACACAGAAAATGCCAGCACAGATGGCAGGTATCACACACAGGTGCACATGTACGTGCATGGGCAAACATACACACCAACCTTAGCCATACACTTATGCAGACACCACAGAGGCATGCACATGCAGCTAAACATATGAGCCCCTGCCACACAAGTGTGCAGATACCACACCACAGTGGCACCTAACACATGTGTGGGTACCATACATACAGGTGGACCCACACTCAGACACACGGCATACATCAAACCCTGCCAAATGTGTGCAGACACCACAGACGCTCACTTCCTGACCCTTGCTGCACACAGTTGCAAGCAAACATGTCATGCACATACACACATACCTCGCATCTGTGTCATACACCCTTGTCTGCCGACAGAGCCACACCACTCCATCCCTGTAACCCACTCATGCATCCTCTAACTCTTCTTTCCCTGTCAGCCCCACCCCACATGATGCCCAACCTCATGCTGCCCCTCACCTGGGCTGCTGTCCTGCAGGATGATGGCCAGGAAAAAGTCCTGGGAGAACGTGGCGCTCATTCCCGGCCCCTCCTGCCTCCACCCTCCCTCCTCAAAGCCCCTCCAGCCCAGCCAGCTGGGGCTCACAGCCTGGTGCTGGGCTGCAGAGAAAAACTCATCCCGCCCCCTTCTCACCAGGGCAGAGCGTCTGCCAGGCAAGATCCTCCCCCGCTTGAAGCTTGCTAGGGAGGGGCCAGGACCACCATGCTAGGGAATCTCCTTGAGGGGGTGGGGAAGGGAGGAGAAAGGGAGGTTCATGAGACCCCAGCCCCTCCTGCTCACACCTCTTCTTCCTCACCCTGGCTCCCCTCCCCCAATCCTGAACCTCCATCCCATCCTCCAGTGGTTATCTCAGTGCCTAAGCCAAGCCCAGTCTTAGGGATACCAGGAGACTCAGCCCCTCAGGAATACCCCAGCTGCCTGGGGCCCTGCAGAGCCTATAGCTCTCAGCATAAATAGGGTGTGGTTTCAAGGCCTTCGGGGATCCTGCCCCTGTCCAGAACCTGCACAGCAGTTTGAACCCAAGGGTGGGCTTTGAGCTCCTGAGCCCCAGCAAGCTTGAGGCTGGGCTTGGGGCTTCCCAGTACCACCCCCCACCCCTCACCTGCCAGGGCCCAGCTAGGCTGCAGCGTCTCCTCGGCAACGGCAGCACCAGGACCGGCTGGGAGCGCCCAGACTGCTGACGTGCTTCCCGTTACCAGGGAAACCAGGAATCCTGACTGGTCCAAGAGGCAGCACTAAGGGACAGGCAGTCCCAAGACCCCGGCTGCTGGGCAACCAGACACAGCAGGGCTGGAAGTGGGCGTGGTTACTCCAAGGTGGCTGCACACCTGATGAGTTATTCAGGCAGGGTGCTTCACCATCCTCAGCTTCCAAATGACGTGGGCCCACAGACACCCAAAGAGGAGTGGCTCTTGCCCATCCACCTTCTAGGCAGCCATCACCGCCTCTCCCCGCCCCTACTTCCCCCTAACTCACACCCTATGGAATAAGGTTTTCAATAGGCACCTGAAACTTAACTGAGGCTCAGGGAATACCTGCTGTTCCCCAGAGACCCTCCATTGCCTCGGGACTCTCCTGCTAAAACCTTCCAGAAACACCACACCTAAGGCCTCCATGCCCTCCACAGCCACAGTCTGCTTCAGGAGGGCTGGACACTTCTGGAATCTGGGGACCAGTTCACCATCTCCTGACTGAGTGACACACACCAATCCATCTGCCATCCCTGACAGCCTGCACCTTCCTGCTTCAAAGAGCTTCATCCTTCCGATCTGTCCTGGAAGGGCAGCTTCTCCCCGCTTGGCCATCTGGGAGGCCCTTCTGGAGCTTGGCACATCTCCCTCCAAGCACAGCCCACCCAGGCCTTTGCTTTGACATACATGCATTTATTTCAGAACGTACACCTTCACTCCTGCATCGATTCATGCAGACACTTACACATAAAATATATTAAATGTTCACATATCATTCCTTCCTTCATTCATTCATTCATCCATAAATGCCTTTAGTGGCAAAGCCAGGTGTACTCACTTGCTCAGGAATCGGTGATTGACTTAATGCTCTCCCCTTCTCTCCACCCCACATAACTAACATAGCCCAGGCTACTAGCATTTTTTTACCTGGATCATTGCAAAAACATCATTAACTGGTCTTTCTCTTCCTGTCTGGTCTCCTCCAATCTCAGCTGCACACTACAGCCCAAATGATTCTTCTGAGATGCTAAACTAATCAAGTAATTTTCCAACTTAATCCTCTTAATTGTTTTGCACTGCCCTCAGGATAAAGTCCAAATTCCTTCCCAGGTTTTATGTGTTGTCATGAACCCCTGTCTGCCTCTCAGCCTTACCTCTGGCCACTCCCCTTCTCTCTCTTGGCTTGGGACACGCCCCTTGTCCTCTCCCAGCCCACCTCCCTTTCTCTCGATTTTCACCTGGCTATCACCTACCTCTCCTTCAGACATCAGTATACAGGTCCCTTTAAAACTTACCCATTGCCCTCTCCCCCACCACTCTCACAGGCAGGGTCAGGGGCCCCTCCTGGACTTCCCCAGCCCCAGAGAGCTCATCGCACTGAACATAACCTCCTGTTTCTTTCTTTGTCTCCTCACCAGGCTGTGAAGGCCAGGAGGGCAAAAACATCTTTGCCTCACAGTATACATTTCCAGCATTTAGGACAAGGCCTGGAGCAGAGTATGAATTCAACACAGGTAGTAAAGTTTATTCATTTATCATTCATTTAATTCATGAATTCATGCATTTATGCATTCAATCCATAGCTCTATGAATATCCTACAATACGAAGGAGAAAATAATTTTTGCTCAATTCTAGCCTCATTTCTGCAGAAGCACAAATCTTTTCTGCAGCCCTCTTGGTCACAGCAACACAGTCATAAAAGAGTAATCAGTGAGTTGGCCCCTTTCCTGGGCTGGCCCCCACCTCTATCCTCAATTCACAAAGTCTCCACCAGTGCAAGATCCTTGAGAATCCTCTTGCCCCTCCAACATCCTTGCTGAGGTCACTGCCCAGCAAACCCATCCCAGCTCTTCAGCAATACTATCCTCCTATTCCTAGAAGCTTCATAGGTTATTCATAGTTGCAGCCACTACAGTGACCATCCCAGGGGCGACTGAGCAACTAGGCCTCTATCTGGTCACTGACTCATACCTCCTAGTCTTGCAAACTTGCAACCTACAACCTGCAGACTGATGCAAGCCTCAGACAGATTGTGTGTGGCCTGCACCGTGCTTTTTAAAAAATAGAATTTGTCGTTAACATTTAGAAACTGGGCTATTTTACACCAATATCTAGTTTTCAGTTTCCCTTTAACTGGCTGCATTGAGACTACATTTTTCCTCACCCCAATACCACATGTAATCAGCTGGAGTGCAGGAGGGGCTGTTCCTTTTAAAAGGAGTTGAGGCAATGACTGCCAAAGGCCACTAACATCATAAAAAGAGAGGCAATCAGACTTTGCCTTTGGTAGAAGTATTTAAAATACCACCTACGAAATATTCTTGCAAAAGCAAAACACAAAAATGCTCAAATCTGAATCTGATCAAGGCTCTAGAACTAACTACCAATTTACAGGAAATCCAGGGGAAGAGGAGCATGGTAAATACCACCACAGGAGAGAGTCTGAAAAATCCAGACCATAGAAAACCCAGGACAAACAACATGATTCTTCAGTTAAAAAACAAAAGCAAAACTGCAAGCAAAAAACAAATAGACAGGGGGAACTTGATCAAACGAAACTTTAAGAGATAAATCAGGCCAGACATGGTGGCTCACGCCTGTAAGCCTCGTGCTTTGGGAAGCCAAGGTAGGAGGATTGTTTGAGAACAGGAGCTCACAACCAGCCTGGGCAACACAGTGAGACACTGTCTCTACTTTTTTTTTTTTTTTTT